AAAGACAATTCAAGGATATACTGTTTTTGTTTTTTCTTTTGTATGTTTTACATAGTTTTATTTTGAAAAGCTGCAAGTTGTATAAATTACAGAACATTTTTTGTTGTTGGCGAAAGGTTTGAGAGTAAATTACTACCTGTTGTTCCTTGTTCCTGTGTATTTCAGTAGATATTTCTCAAAACAAGGACCTTCCGTTATATAACCGCAACGTAACACAAACTAACAGTGACACATAATTACCATTTAATTCTCAGACTCCATTCAAAAGTCTCCAGTTGTCTCATGTGGCAGATGTTGTTAGTTCCCACCTAGTGTTCCTGCTTCCTTTGTTGGTTGAATTGTGTCCCCCAGAAAAAGCTATGCTGGAGTCCTAACCCCTAGTGCCACATAATATGAGACTTATTTGGAGATAGAAATTTATTAAATGCCACTAGGTTGTTCACTTTAAAATGGCTGATTTAATGTTATACAAATCTTTCCTCAATTTAAAAAAGAAAAAAGACAAAAAGGGAACTTTAAAAGGCACAAATACATAGGACAAAAGGAATAGAGGAAAGATGAGAGCAGACAGGAGATGATGACAAAATTTAGGCATGTCTTGAGGTGGCCTGGGATAAACCAAATAGTTAATACACAGAGCTCAGACTGTCTTAAGAGATCTCGGGGACCTTTGCAGGTGGAGTTGGGGGTGGTGCTGAAACAGTAGAATTGGGTTGAAAGTTGGAATAAGGAGCAGTTGGATCCCTCAATCTCTATGTCTAGCCCATGGAGCCAGATGACTGCTCCTTTTTTCCCCTGGTGGAAGAACAGATTCCAGTTTTAATTTAAGCTAGCTCAAGTCAGCGCTATTACTTGCTAAAAGAAAAAAAAAACAAAACTTAAATATCTCTGAATTGTTTAAAACTCTAATAACAATAGCTGCCAGGCACTCTGTTAGAGTCTAGTCTATAAAGATGAGTAAAACATGGTCTCTTATCTTTGAGAAGCTCACATGGTTTTGGGTTGCTTTTTTTTTCCTGTAGCAGTTCAAGATATCAATAAAAACAAAAACTATGTATCATGAGGCAGTGAATCATTATGTCTAATTGTTATAGACTGGAGTTATGTGTATGGAGACCTCTTTGAGGACGGGGGTAGCCAAAGAAGGCTATACTCCTTTGTCCTGAGGAAAGGTCACATTATGACTCTCTTGGTGATTCCCAAGGCAGCCAGGAGCCAATTTGGCTTGGAGGTAGCTTTGGGAAGGGAGCAATGACACACTTGGAAAGGCAATTCGGCATCTGCACGGTAAGAACCTGGGATCCCAGGGTGAGGAGTCTGGACTTGCCTGTGTCATTAGTGGGAAAGCCTGTGGAGGCTGTTGCATAGGATGACACAATGAAGTGACCTGGCCTTTCTGCGTTTTGTGATAGCAAGAAGAAACTGACAGGTGTGAAGAAAGAGAGAGAGGAAAGAGTGAGACAGCCAGGGACTCTGTATTAGTCAGAGCTTTTTAGCTGTAAGCAAGAAAAATTGACTGGCTAATTTAAGCAGAAAATAAAGGGATTGAAAGTAAAGTTCGTTGTAGTGATGGGAAATCTAAAGAACAAGGCTCAGAAAGTTCCTCTTGCCGCCTCTTATCCATATGCATTCTTCTTCCCTAAAGAATTATTCTTCCAAAAAGAAATTCTCCTACCTAACACACTTTAGACATCCCTTATATTAATAAAATGAAAACCACTTCCTGCCCACCCTCAAAATAAACAGCCTCAGATTTCAATAGTCACTGCATCCTGCTCCAAGCCCAGGGGCTCTGTTGATGCCCACTCCCGGTACTGCCTAGTCTTGTCTTGATATCTTTGTAAATGGTGGCTTGTAAAGTTATCAGTTACCAACATATCACTTATTTTTTAAAAAATGAGAAAGGGGGAAGGGAAATTATTTTAGTCAGATGAATATATTTAGGAAAAATCAGGGAAGGAAATATGGGTAGAGGCTACAATGTTCATTTCCGCAACTGATCATAAGGCTATAGGTATTTATGGCTTCTGCCCACTCTACCTGGCCCATGTGCTCTTTGCCTGGAGGCAGAACCTCAGCTGGTCAGCGCTTTTCACTCAGTGTGTGACCCAAACCTCACTTCTGAGAGATCCAAGCCTTTGGTGTTCCTGCCTGTACAAGGAGTTGAAGAAGTCTTTCATTAACTTTTATTATAATTCAGGACAAGGACCATAAGGATGCACTCCAGGGGGGTCCCTTGTGTCCCAGTATGCCTCTTGACCCCACTGTGTAACCACAATCTTATTTCTCCTTGAAAATTAGGGCTAAAAATGCTTGTCAATACCACAGCTTCTTTTTTCCCTGTTGATCCATTGCAATGAGGAGCCCAAAGTGACCCAGTGGCCATCTTGTCCTAAATTGTTTTTCCTAGTGGTGGAATTTTTCCACTAGCAGAGCTCAGAGTTGATGGATGATACAGTGGGCAGAATAGTGGTCCCCAAAGATGTCCACATATTAATGCCCCAAACCTGTGAGTATGTTACATGACAAGAGGCAATTAAGGCTGCAGATGGAATTAAGGATGCTAATCAGCTGACCTGAAGATGGGGAAATTAGCCTGTATTGTCCAGGTGAGCCCCATGTAATCACAAGTGGTTACTTTGTAAAAGAAAGAAAGAGGTAGGAACATTCAATATCAGAGTGATGCAGCATTAGAAAGATTCAATCATCTTTTGGTAGCTTTGAAAAGGGGTCCACTGGCCAAGAAATGTGAGCAACCTCTAGAAGTTGGAAAAGGCAAGGGAACAGATTTGCCCCTACAGCCTCCAGACGTAATATAGCCCTGATGACTCCTTGATTTTAGCCCAATCAGACCCATTTTGGACTTATGACCTCCAGAACTGTAATATAATAAATATGCATTATTTTAGCCACCAACTTTGTAGTAATTTGTTACAGATACAAGTGTGATTTTTTTTATTTTTTTTTATTTTTTTTTATTTATTTATTTTTTTTTAACAACCCAGTCAATATAGCAGAGAAATTATTTTTAAAATAAATCATGGACTTACATGTAAGAGGTAAAACTATAAACTCTTACATGAAAATATAGGAATGAATTTTCACAAGCATACCATTAGGCAATAGTTTCTTATATACACCAAAAGCAAAATAAATTGTAATTTACCAAAATCAGATATTGTGCTTCAAAGGACACCATCAAAAAAGTGAAAAGACATACCACAAATTGGGACAATTTGCCACTTATCTTTAAGGGACTTCCAACTCAACAAAAAGAATGATAACCCAACTGAAAACTGGACTAAGGACTTGAATGTTTATTTCTTCATATACGAATGGCCAATAAGCAAAGGAAAACATGCTAAAATAGTTAGGAAAATGAAAGTGAAAATTCCAATTAGATATTATCTCATACCCAGAATGGCTGTAAACAAATAAATAACAACTGTTGATGATGATGTGGAGAAACTAGAACCCTCATACATTGTTGGGAGAAATGTAAAATGGCACAACCACTATGGAAAATTTTGGCAGGGGATCGAAATGTCAAAGTAGGAATTATACAACCCTATAATTCCAATCTTGGGGAACTAAAACATTATGTCCATGCAAAAGTTGTTCACCAATGTTCATAGTGTTACTCATAATAGCCCCAAAGTGGAAACAACCCAAACTCTACCAACTGATTGGATAAATAAAATGTGGAATATCTATACTATGGTATATTGAGCAATAAAAAGTAATGAAGTACAGATAGATGCTATTCATGGATGAACCTTGAAAACATTATGGTAAGTGAAAGAAGTCAGTCATGAAAGGCTACATATTATATAATTCCATTTATATAACAAGTCCAGAATAGGCAAGTCTATAGAGACAGAATGTGTAATAGTGATTGTCAGCGGCTGGAAGGAATGAGAAGTGACTGCTAATGGGGGTACAGGTTTCTCTTTGGTAATGAAAATGTTCTGGAATCAGTGGTAATGGTTTCACAACTCTGTGAACATACTAAAATTCACTGAGTTGTACCATTTAAGGGTGAATTTTATGGTATGTGAATTTCTCCTAATAAAGCTCTCAATAAAGCTGTTACTAAACAAAGATGACAGAGTTTTCTAAAATACATTTTAGAGACTTTCACTTTTAATAAAAGTTGTATTTAAATAAATATGCAACAGTTATTGGAAAATCCATCATTTTCCCTTTCCTGGTGAATGATAGTACACATAACAGACCTCAGTGATATTGTGCAACAATGATCCTTGCTGGTGTGGAATTCTCACAGCCTTTTTGGGTGAACCTTTAAAAATGCAAGTGAGCTATATAATACCTTGATTGCTTTAACTCCAATGAACTGTGAAGAATAAAGAAGCTATGGCTCTTCATTCTTCATTAACAAAAATAAAACTGGAAACTTGGATTCCTGTTTGGCTCTCTATTGTATTAAGTGTTAGAATAAAATTACTGTAATGGTAAATTTTTTCCACCACTTTGTGTTTTTTACTCTTGCTTTCTCTAGTGAACACCTGTTATTTCAGTTTGCTCCAAATCCCTTTTAGTATAAGGGCCCCTCATCCAATGTGATTCTGACAGGAGTTACCACTGATAGTGCATCTGAGCCAGGCCTGGCCAAGAGCACAGGTCCCCATCTCTTCTCCACAGGGACTGGTCCAATGCAAGGGCAGACGATCCAGAGATCAGAGTCCTTGTGTAGGATTTGATTTGTGCACCCTGGAAAAGGAAGTTCTTTCATTTTTGGATCATAGATCGTAAGGATGTGGGCTTGTAGCTGACAGTGGCCCATTATGTGGAGAGGGCCAGCCTGCAAATGAAAACAGGAAACAAACAGGAGATGATGGCAACATCATCTGAGGCTTGGCATCCAGCTATACTGGATGATATGAAACTTCTGAGGCTGTATGTAACTTAAGTGAATCAGTGCAAATGAAGTATTTTTTCATTAAGGAATCAAACATTATTTTAGAACTAAATAAGACAGGTTGAATAAAAGAAAAAGTTTTATGCTAAACTTTCCCAATGGACATCTTCTGGACAGGTTTCATGTTATAGATTGTGTCAGTGGCCTTCAGGATGTATAAATTGTGTAACTTGATTGAAGAGTCAAGTTTGAAAATAACAGTCTGCCCATTCTTTGTGCTTTAGAACAATGCTCAAAACACATTTATTATGCTCCCAGCCCATAACTGTTAAATTTTTCTTCTAAAACTAACTTACATCAAGAGAATCATTTACTTTATATATATTCAAAAACACAACTCATCCATTTTCTCTAGTGTTCCATGGAAGGAAAAAGTGGTTCAACCAAAGAGATGTAGAAAAAACTGTTTCCTATTTTGACTCTGTTTTAATGGCCAGAGAAAATCCTTTGTTGTTTTCATCTTGGTTTCAATAATGGTATCAATAACCTTTTCTTCCTCTGAATCTTGATCTGGCATCCAACATTGATCTTTTACACTCAAAAAATGAATATTTCAAAGCTTTGCAGTATCCTTCCTTCAAACACTGCCGAGGGGATTTTCCTTCCTGGAGCACACAGTCCGACTCCAGCAGGCATGCACCCAGGTCCTCCTTCACGCCCGCGCATGCAGCGCCCTCCGGCTTGTCTTCGTAATACCGGGGCATGACGGCGCCTGCCACCCGCTGCAGCCCCCAGCCTCGTCGACCCTACTCATCTGCAACGTCTGCGACCAGGTAGGGAGCGAGACAAGTGTGATTTTTAAGAGGCACCACCTCACTTATGTTAATACATCTCATCCCTGGACTTGTGTATTTTTGGTATGAGAGAAACGGCTCCATATAGTTGGTCACTGGTTCAGAGTATATGCCACATTCTGTAGGATACCATCTAATCTTAAAAGACGTTGACTCCAGTTGGCAAAATAACTAAGACCTCAATAGGGCTATTCTAAAGGCCAGCTGGAATACACAATAAAACTAGGGAATCCCATGAGGGTTGAACTGTGTATCCCAATTGCCTTACTTCTTTCACCATAAAAGTATTCCTTTGGTCAAAAGCATTGTTACATAAGATGTCATCTTTAATGCCTTATAAGGCATTTAGCAAGTCTTTGAATGGTGGTGCTGGCAAAAATATGGTAAGCAGGAAATATATACAGAAATCTAAAATAAGTTTCCTCTACAACGAGGACAAATTGCTTCCTCGTCCATGATGGCAAGTCCAAGTTGGCAGTAGCTGGGTCAGTCTCAGTGTGAGAAGGTCCATGTTGCAGGCCAGGTGTGGTGGCTCATGCCTGTAATCCTAGTCCTCTGGGAGGCTGAGGCAGGAGGATTGCTTGAGGTCAGGAGTTCGAGATCAGCCTGAGCACGAGTGAATCCCCGTCTCTACTAAAAATAGAAAAAATTAGCTGGGCATGGTGGCACACCTGTAGTCCCAGCTACTTGGGAGGCTAGGGGAGGAGGATCCCTTGAGCCCCGGAGTTTGAGGTTGCTGTGAGCTAGGGTGATGCACTCTAACCCGGGCAAGAGAGTAAGACTCTGTCTCAAAAAAAAGAAAGAAAGAAAGTCCATGTTGTTGATCCTGTGCACAGTTCAACATGCATTGCCCCCATGAATGGCCCCATAGTCACTTTGTTCATGAGCTCATGGAGCAAGCTCTGGTGTAACTGGGGTAAAAGGACCATCCACAGAGCAGGTCATCTTATCTATCTGATTATTGAGAGTCTCTTCTACTCTTGTGACAGAAATATTTTCATTATAGTAGATTGGTTTGCTCAACAACTCTTTCTCGTGTGCCTCTATATGCTTTAGAGCCTAGAAAGCTAAAAACTATGTGTCTCAGATCCTACTGCAGTTATGGCTCCAGATGTGATTGAGATTTTGCCAATCAACTGCTCTTACACGAGACTTGAATGTGAAATGGAATTAACTGAGTGAAGTGGACAGAGAGGCAGGATGTATTCACTTCATTGCTGTGGATTGTGACAGAGGATGTGTGGTTCTGTGGTTACTAGTGTGCTGATTTGCTGGTTTCCTGCAGTGGCAGCCAGAGCTTACCCAACCACAGCACAATCAGTGAGATTCTGGGGACAAGGAGTGCTCTTGCGAGCTCCACCTAAAGCTTCTTCTTTTATCCCTTCCAAATATTGTTTAAGCCCCCTAATCCCTGGCAATAACTCCCTTTTTTCCTTAAACTAGACAGAGTGGTATTTGTAGTCTGCAACTGAATCATGACAGATATTGTCATATAGGGGACCCATTTCGAGAGGTTTATGCACATTATGCTTCTCCACACTTCCTTTCAGTATTACTTCTAGCTCCCTAATCATCGAGCCAAACTATTAACCTCTGGCTAAGCTTCAGCGTAGATTCCTACCTCGGCACTTTCTCCTTCTGAGAAAACTACACAGTTAGATGTTTTGTTTTGTTTTGTTTTGTTTTGAGACAGAGTCTCGCTTTGTTGCCCAGGCTAGAGTGAGTGCCGTGGCGTCAGCCTAGCTCACAGCAACCTCAAACTCCTGGGCTCAAGCAATCCTCCTGCTTCAGCCTCCCAAGTAGCTGGGACTACAGGCATGTGCCACCATGCCTGGCTAATTTTTTGTATATATATATTAGTTGGCCAATTAATTTCTTTCTATTTATAGTAGAGGTGGGGTCTCGCTCTTGCTCAGGCTGGTTTCGAACTCCTGACCTCGAGCAATCCGCCTGCCTCGGCCTCCCAGAGTACTAGATTACAGGTGTGAGCCACCTCGCCTGGCCCAGTTAGATGTATTCTTTGAAGTCCTGCCCATCCCCAGTGTTCTCCAGGGTCACCCTTGATTGGGGGCCAAAAAATCACAGTGGTCCTTTCTTTGTCATGTCAACATATCAGGTAAAGACAGCCTAAACTAATCATGTCTCTTTTCCACCACAGTCTGGTAACAGGGCTCGTCGTCAGGGCCCAGTGGTGGAAGAAATAGCAATGCAGCAGCAGGAGAGTGCGGCTACTGGAGCCACCGTGCCTTCAGGATCTGCTCTAGCCTCATTTTGTATACATCATTTCTACTTGATGATGGATCCACATCTAGCGTCACACCTAGGAAGCCCAGATAATAGCCAGCTCACGAGAACAACTTGTGTTCCACGGTCATACTGTGTCTAGGCCCACAGCAAGCCGAGAGCTAATTCTCAAAGAAAGAATACTTAGCTGCCAATGGCCATGGTCAAAGGGCCTCTGCTGTGATTCTCCTGTCAAGAGTGGCCTCAGTCTCTATAAAACACTTCAATCTGCCTCAAACACTTTGAACATCACAATGATCATAAGGACTAGGTTGCACTGCAGTCTGGACCAGCTGGAGAACCTTCTCTTCCTCTGAATCTCACTCAAATGTGGCTTCATTTTAGGCAACCAGGTAAGGAGGTCAGAGCAGTAACTCAAGCATGGTACACTGTCTCTAAACTCTGTCTCTAAACACTGTCTCTAAACTCACCTAAGTGATGTAACTTTTTTGTTGTTCATTTAGGAATAGGTAGCACAAGTAAATCAACTTGTCCTTCATTTTTGGAGGAGACACCTGTATGAAAGATCACTAAACACCAAAAAACATCAATGAGGTGAAAGGCCTTTGTACTTGGGTCTCCTACCCTCTGGTATACATGTATTTCCTAAAACATGTAAGGTACTTTCTGTTTTATACTCTACATATCCTATCAGCTTGATGTCATCAGTTCAGTGGACCAGCAAGATGTCTTGTGGAATAGGTTACATGGCCAAGATCCACTAAATTGTGGCAGATTCAGAAAATTCATGTAACCATGAGATGGTGTAACAAATGTATATTACTGTATATTGTATCTGTTGTCTTCTGCTAATTAAGCTAAAGAAAAAGACTTCATGGGATCAAAGTCTTCTTTTTGTCTCTTTCTTTTAAAGAACAGTCCCTTAAAATAGATGTAACCACTATCCTGACTTCTAATATCCTTGATTAGTTTTTCCTATTTTTGAACTTCATATAGCAGCAGTGTATGACATTAAAGTTGCTCCACATCCTTGCCAAATATTAGTATTGGTATTAGTTTCTCCTTTCTTCCTTTCTTTTTTTTTTTGAAACAGAGTCTCACTCTTTTGCCCAGGCTAGAGTGCCATGGAGTTAGCCTAGCTCACAGCAACCTCAAACTCCTGGACTCAAGAGATCCTCCTGCATCAGCCTCCTGAGTAGCAGGGACTACAGGCATGCACCAACATGCCTGGCTAATTTTTTCTATATATTTTTAGTTGGCCAATTAATTTCTTTCTATTTTTAGTAGAGACGGGACCTTGCTCTTGCTCAGGCTGGTTTCAAACTCCTGACCTTGAGCTATCCACCCGTCTCTCGGCCTCAGAGTGCTAGGATTACAGGCGTGAGCCACCACGCCTGGCCTTTGATTTTTTTTTTTTTTTTTTTTTTGAGACAAGTTCTCAGTCTGTTGCCTGGACTGGAGTGCAGTGGCACAACCATAGCTCACTGCAATCTCAAACTCTTATGCTCAAGCAATCCTCCTGCCTCACCATCCCTAGTACCTGGGACAACAGCAAGTACCTTACATCCTCCTAATGTTTTTATTCATAGAGATGGTGTCTTCTATGTTGCCTAGGGTGGTCTCGAACTTCTGGCCTCAAGCAATCCTCCCATCTCAATCTCCCAAAGTGCTGAGATGACAAGTGTGAGCCACTGCATCCAGCCAGGGTTGTGTTTTTGTAATAATTACAGAGACAAAGGGAAACATCTTTAATATTTTGGGGACAAATTTCTCCATGTCTATACCCTCATTTTCTCCATAATTCTCTATGATTGTCTTCTAACTCCACACTTGACTATCATTGCTCTTAGTGAAGTCACAGAGCACCCCTTTCTATCTCCAAATACAAAGACTACCTCTACTCTCCCTAGAGCACTCCAAAGCACTTGGCACCTTACCTTTCTGTCCTCACACTCTCCCTCCAGGCTTCCTAGATACTCTTTCCACTGCCCTAAACCACTCCTTGATCTCTCGAGTGACTCTCCCCCTTCCTTTTTCTGTCCTCTAGCTTTGCTAACTGTAGGTGGCCATTTTGTTTTTGCGAGGTTGGGGTGAAGGATGCTCAGCCCCTGAGAATTTCCCACTTTATGAATCTTATATGTAGCAAGCTCCACTTCTTACCGTAGAAGCTGTAAATGCCAGACACATGTTTTCCCAGCCTCCTTTGCAGCCAGATGCCGGCACTGTCCTAGGCAGGGTCAATCAGATGCAGCTATCCCAGACTTTGGCTCTGGAGTTACTGATAGGAAGAAGCAGAGTCGAGTGGAGAGTGCTCCTAGAGGCAGCAACTTGTAGTTTCCATGCAGCTGTGGCAGTAGTACCAAGGTCAGGGCCCTGACCCGATGGTGTCAGTGATATGAGACTCGGCGTCTAGTGGACAGCAGTATCCTCTCACCAAGCACTGTTTCTGGAGTGGTCTGGGCTATGGTTATAGTTGTTTAAGCTCTGAGCCTGGTTCTCCAGCTCTCCCAGTGTTTCTGAGAGCTACGCAATAGCTTAACTTATTCAGAATCTATTTCCATTGCTTGCAACTGGGAATTCTGACAAATATAGCATTTTAAGAAGCTGTCCTTAGTTCTCTCTTTCCCTATGCCACCTAAGATTATACTAACCTCTATATTTTCTAAACTGCTATTGCATTATTAAAGAATCCATGCAATTTGGCATATTACCATTTACTATCTTATACTTTAATTTTTCATTTTCCTATCTTTATTTATAGGCCCTGCTATGCCTGTAAATTATGCCTCTCCAAAAATACCATGAATCATAAGAGCAATTAAAATGTCATACAAATATATACTTTGTGGTATCACAGTATTTAATGTTTATTTTTTCCTTCATCAATTTATTCAATATTTTGAATGCCCATTGAGTGCCAAGCACTGCAAAAATGATGAAGATAGAGGCAAACAAGACATTTCTCTGATTTCCAGGAACTTTGCTCTGGAGGAGATGAACATGGACACATCATTGAGCACCAGGA